CCTTAGCCGGTTGAGCTATAGGCAGCGAGCCAAAGTCAAAGTTTTGAAATTAAAATCAAAGTTGATCTAAATTCAATAGTCAAGTTTCTATAATCTCTTACACCTTGAGTTCATTAATACTATGTTGTGAAATACTGCTCTGCTCAGGAGAAAGGAAAGAATCAGGAGCACTTGAGAAGTGAAATAAACTGACTGGAGTAGATAGAGAGTTTGTGATTACAAAACTAATTTTGTGAGACAAAAAAGTGTGATTGGAGACAGAGAGACAGAAAGCTGGCCAGGGGCTGCTGGCCTGCTGGGCTCAGCCCACATACCTGGGAGAACCTGAGAACCTCCACGCCACCATTCTCCAGCTCTTCTGTGCAGTTGGTGCTGATCATGGAGTCAAAATTTCTAAGTACCTGTGTACAGACCATAGGGATGGACGGTGGGAAGGAAATTTCAGTATTATCCTTGTTCCCATCTTCATTAGTGGCCAAATTGGGAGAATTTGAATCAATTCTCTACTTTCCCACATAGCCAAGGATGTCCATGTTACATGTGATCTCTTTAACTCCCATCTTATAATTAGATAACCAAGCTTCAGGCCTCTCCTCCCAAGCTTGATTTCTCTTTTCCTTAAGTTCAGGCAACAGAAACTATCTCTCCCCTTTTAGTATCCCAGGGCCTCATTTCTCTGTGATACCATGAAGGGAAGATTCTCTAACAAAATGTCCTTGTCTAGACAGAAATCTCAACAGCTTAGCCTTGGATAACCTACACACAGGGCTCAGGTGAATGGACTTAGATGGGGACACAGATGAGAGCGAGAATCAGCCTGGGGCATTAGGGATGGAGCAGACAGGAAGCCCACACAGGATGCGGCTGCAGAGGAGCCAATTTTCCAGATGCAGGAATTGTCCACTCTACTGATAGCCAGCTGTGGTTCATTTACATAAAAATTTAAGTTCCCTATCTCTGCCTTTCCTCTTTTTTCCAGCTTGCTGGATATATCCCAGAGACGCAAAGTACTGTGTACCTATGAGAAACTTGGGGTTAATTACAGGGTAAATCTCAAAGCTAAAAAGAGAAAGCTCCTTGGAGCCCACATTGCCTATGATTGTTAGCATCTCTCGTCGCCCTCCATTTGCTCGTGTGAGAATCAAAACTACAGCATTTGGGCAGTCAGAGGTCTGATAAACCCTGTTGCTGCAGAACTAGGCTCTAGTGATATTAAAATGGCTTGATC